CTAGACAACATAAACATTCCATTTTGATTATGAACACAGCTGACGTCTATGCTGCCATTCAAAGTCTTCTTTTTATTAAGCAGATCAATTGCAGACACTTGCAGAAACAAATCACAGGGATGACTATAAAAATCTTACACAGAAAGTTATCAAGTTAACTGGGAAGAAGGGGTTCATGGGGGCAGGAAGGGATGAGAGAGAATAACTGGGATTAAAAATGACCAAAATAAGCTGGGTATGGTGGGATAAACCTTTAAACTTGGGAGGCAGAGGCAGGTCTCTGTGAGTTAGAGGCAGCCTGGTCTATAGACTGAGTTCTAGGACAGTTGGAGCTACATAGAGAGACTCTGTCTCAAAAAGAAAAGGAAGGAAGGAACAAAGAAAAAGACAAGTATATTATATATGTGTGTGAAATTGTCAAAGAATAACAGAATAATGGTTTAAAAATTATCAAAGAAAGAAAAAATGAAAATAAACAGAATATCCAACTCAGTAATTTCATGAGAAGAATTAGACACGGCTATTCTGTACTATTTCAATGGTGGCTCCCCTCCCTCACACACATCCCTCCCTTTTCATTTTGTTTTGTTTAATACAGGGCCTCGTAGTTCAGGCTGGCCTCGAACTTATGACCCTCCTGCCTCCATCTCCTAAACTGGGATTACAAGGCACATGCCACTATGCCCAGCTACTATCATACGCTTTTATTCCTCTCCAAATGAAGCATGTCAATAAAGAAAGTCCAGCTAACCAGGGCCTTTGGATATGGAAATAAACCATCTTCCCAGTGTTTCTTTCCTGAAACCACAGTCACTTAGAAAGGCTTTGGGAACTTAATAGGGCACCGACACTTGGAAGAGGACTGTGTCTTTTGTACGGCTTTCAAAATCTAAAACAGACTGGTAAACATAGGGAGATGCCATGTCCTATCCATTAGACGGACAGAGAAGAATAAGTATTGGCAGAGAGAGGACAAACTGGATCCCTCCTAGACTGATTGGAGGGAATGCAAAAAAAAAAAAAAAGTATAGTTGCCATGGAAATGGCTGTGTAGTTCCTCAAATGGCCACAGATAGAGACATCACATGATCCAACAAGTCCACTTAGAGACAGGTAACAAAGGGACTGGAAGCCTGTCTACAAAAACCTGGCATGCAAATGCTTATAACACCATTCTAAAAAATACCCAGGAAGCAGAACCAGCCAAAACTCCCTCAAGCAATGATGGATCCATAAAATGCGGTATGGCCTAACAAAATATATCAGCAATTAGAAGGATGGAGCTCTGATATACCAAAATACACCAGATGGGTCTATCTACAGAAGAGATAAGCTTTGAAAATGCTATCCTAAGTGAAGAAAGCCAAATACCATTTACACAGGACGGGGGTGGACGGGTGGTCACCTGGGGTGGAGGGAAAGGAGCCATGAGGAACACCTGCTACTGGGGAACAGCTGGCTGAAGAAACTATGCTAGGACACAAACTTGGGGATGGTTGCAGAACACTGCGAAAATAGTAAAAACACTGAGCTTTTCATTCTCATAGGGTGAATTTTATGGTATGGAAATTGTATTTTATTTAAAAATTTATGATTTATGTGTGTAGGTGTTTTGCCTACATGTATGTTGGGTCAGTGCACCATGAATATGCAGTACCTGCAGAGGCCAGAGCTACAGAAGAAGGCTGTGCTCCGCCATGTGGGTGGGCGCTGGGAATCGAACCTGGGCCCTCCAAAAGAGCAGGCAGTACTTGTAACTGCTGAGTCAACTCTCCAACCCAGTAACTGAAGCTTTTTCAAAGCTAGGGAAGGGAGAACAAGGATGGGAAAAGTCTGTTTTATGCCCTTGGAGAGTTATTTAACACGGTCATAGATTTTACAGAAAGCAAGGCATGTTAATGTTTTTCTTCTGGTCCAGCATTTTGGCTCAGAAGATGGAGAGACGCTGCAGGGCTATCTACGCAGGTGGCCGGTTGAGAGAGGAGCCCCAGGTTTTATCTCAGACTCGGTTGTGTCTTGTGGTTTACTTGGAAGAAAACACTCAAACCCTATCTGGTTAGAATTCAAGATAGATACTATTGTATCTTATGGATCAGTTCAAGAAAACAAGTTAAAACTCATGGGAACTTGGTGTATTTGGGGGCAGAACTTCTACCTACGCCAAGTCACTCCTGAAGCAAGTCATTAACTCCCAGGGGGCCTTCATGCCGAGGGCCTGGGTGGTTCTGGGAAGTAACTTCCACCACTGGGGAAAAACCTCAGCTTTGCTAGCCTCCTCCTGCCCAACACAAGCTACCGAGAGGGTTGGCGTGTGACTCATGAAACGGCAGGGAGTTTTGGCAAATGTGTCCTTCACTGCTTATGAATGCTTTACAGGTTTGTTTTGAAAAGTAAAAATAAAAATTAAATGCAAGGGCATTTTAAGGGGAGACTTGTCCTGTCTGTGGCTGCTTCATGGGTTGAATGATTCCTCCCCCTGTGTCATGGTTTTCAGTTCTAAGGTGGAGATTGACCTAGTCCAACAGAGAAGAAAATGTGTCTATGGATGGCATTGGCTATCTGTTTTGTTATTTGTTTTTTTCCCTCCAAGACAAGAGTTTCACTGTGTAATCCTGGCTATCCTGGAACTCACGTTGTAGACAAGGCTGGCCTTGAACTGATAGAGATCCACCAGCCTCTGCTTCCAGAATGCTGGGATTAAAGACATGTGCCACCACCACCCAGCTGGCATATCTTGGGTATCTGAAACTGATAGTTCCTAAGAAACATGACTTCCTGGGCTAAGTGTAGGGTCTTCAAAAGACCTCAAAGGCTCAGAAGCATTTGTCCTGACTCTGCCAGTTGTTGGGAAGATCAGCTGTGGGATGGAGCTGACTCTGTGATTAGCTTTCTACATGAGGCAAACTTAAAACAGTTCCAGGGACAAAAAGCAAACCTCACAAAAGCTGTCAGAGGAAAGAAGGCACGAGGTGAGAACACAACCTGCTCTTGGTTTTTGGAAGTCTCACTCTTCTGTTAGGAACAGGGCTGCATGTCTCGGGCATCGATGGTAACCCCATCCCAAACTCCAGGGGAGAAGATACGGACAGGAAGGCCACCCATTCACAGTGCCTTTATAATTTCTATTGTTTAAATCAAATCCTTTTCAGTGGTTTTCTGTCTTTCTCTATTTCTGCCAGACACTAACAGGAAAGCCGGGACCAGGCAGGCTAGCAAAGAAGAGGAAGTGAAGCCAGGGTGTGTCTGCAGCTAGCTCTAGGCAGCTTTGGAGTCCATCTTCAAAACATGCCTGAAGTTAGAGATCCCGGTCCTGTGGATGCTGAATCAACCCCACGGGGCTCTGCGGCTACCTCACCTCGCCTCTCACGCATTCCTGCTGTCTGGCAGAGCTAACCTTTGCTGAGCAAGAAACACTGAAAAGCAGGCAAGTACGGAGCGCACTGGCCTCTTGGGCAGCTCCCTCCCTTCCTGTCCTTCCTCTCTCTTTCCTCCCTTCTCTCATTTTTTTTTTCAGGGACTGAATCCATGACCAGGCCAAGGCAGACAAGCACCCTGCCATGGGGCCACCGCCCCAACCCATATGTCTTCTTTCTGTGTTTTTCAGACACGGGGCAAAACCTGTCACTGGGTTTGCTCACTTCTGTTCCCGAGACAGGTGAGCCACAGCGGCAGTCTCTGGGTGGGTCTCTGTCAATCAGCAAGGCAGTGCAGTAGATACCAGGTCACGACCTAGACATGCTTAGATCTGTCTAGGCAACATTCAAATTACTAGGGAACTAGGGACCTCTGGGACGCCCACTCTTCTTTCTCGTAGTTATGTGAGTCTTGCTTATGATGTAGCCAGTACTGTCCCCACTCCTGCTCCCAGAGACAGTGATCCACAGATGAAGTCTTTATATACGTTTTATCGACAAAGCACAATGCTTTCAGGCTGGACAGAAACACTATCCACTAAATGAATGTCTTCTTATCACTGGTGGGAGCTTGGGAAGTGAGCCCTGACACAGCTGTGTGTGTTGACGAGGGTACTTCTGCAGGGATCCCATGTCTAGGATGGATGATAAACATTCTGTCATCGGCACTGTGATAGAGACAGAGCTACCCTGTGTCTTGTTGACAAGAAATACTTACAAGGTGCAGGAAAAGCACCTGTTTGGCAGGCTCTATTCAGCTCGAATTCATCACTTTGAAGGAGCTTATACATTGCCCTTCAAAATGAAGGGCTGAAAAGCAAACATGAGGTCATCCTTCCAAAGTCGGTAGAAGATAGGGGAGGAGAAAGGGAGGAGACCGAAAGCACCCCCCTCAACACACTTACATGCGTTGCATTCAGCTTGCCTCTGCTCACTGAGCACTGGAATCCAGGTTAGACACAGAGGGCTTTCTAAGATTGAAGGGAGTAATTTGGAATTACCTTGCAGCATTCTGCTTCCAAGGAAGGAAGGGACAGTCTACTTCCTGCTACCAGACCATTGACTGTCACCTTTAAACTTGACATGGGGTGCTGGTGGGTCTTATGTCAGCTTGACATACAAATTAGTTATCTGGAAGGAGGGAATCTTAATTGAGAAAATGCCTTCGTAAGATCTGGGTGTAAGGCATTTTCTTAATTAGTTACTGATGAGGGAGGGCCCAGCCCATTGTGGGTAGGGTCATCCCTGGGATGGTGGTCCTCGGTTCTATAAGAAAGCAGACAGAGAGAGCCTTGGGGAGGAGTGAGCCGGGAAGCAGCAACCCTCCGTGGCCTCTGCATCAGCTCCTGCCTCCAGGATCCTGCCCTGTCCTGACCTCCTTTGATGATGAACAGCAATATGGAAGTGTAACCCAAATAAACCCTTTCCTCCCCAACTTGTGTTTTGGTCATGGTGTTTCATCATAGCAATGGTAACCCTAACTAAGACAACACATACAAACAGTCTGAGAATGATGCTTGAGAGGAACAATTCAGGTCAAGGACTGAGACAGTAGGTCATACGTTTGAACTCAGGTGGATTCCCTACCTCCTGGCCCCTGTCCTGCACAGGACACGACTCACTGTCTGCTTCTGAGAATGATCCAGATTCGTCACTGGAATTGGTTCCATAAGACTGCTCACATTTAATTTGGGGTCGGACTTGGTTGTACATCCCATCTCCCATCAGGCCCGGTTCCTGGTGTTCTGTGGCAAGGAATCTGGCTCCCTGGGAACAGGGTGAGGAGGAGAACTCACAGAGAGGGAGGCTGCAGGGGGAGCCCCCGCTCCCATCCTCTGCATAGGAATAGGAGGAGCAGGAGCTGGAGGTCCTGGTTCTGGTCTCTAGTGGAGGAGAGCGAGGACAGACTTTGATTGGCACCGGGCAGCTGGTGTTGGGCCGTATCCTGCCTGGCAAGTGGTCAGTCATCAGTCCGCTGTGGGAGTAGGCCTGTGAGCTGGGGAGGGACTGGCCAGTCCCTACCCATAGACTTTTTGGCACCGGCTCGGAGAGGTCTTTGTCCAAATTGCTCACCCCAGAATACGAATGCACTGGAGTGTTCACTTGGTCACACGTGCTCGAGGAGAAGATGACACTCCTCCGGTCCAGCTCTCCCTCCTGTTTGCAGAGAGCCTCCGGTCCAGGCCCCCTGAGCGGCGACCCCATCGTGAAGTTGGACACATCCTTCTGGCCCATGTGGGGCTGTCCATAATTCCCTGTGAAAGGGGTGTAGTCAGTTTTAAGGTCACCCTGAGAGATCCCCTTGTTAAAAGGGCACGCCGAACTCCTGACAAAGTGTTGCTGAGATGTACCGGGCAGGCCAGACGACTCCACACCTTTTGCTATACTGAACAGAGACCGTAGACAGGAAGGTGAGGACACATTCCTGGATCTGTCCAGGCAGGTGGCTCCTATAGGGGTACTGGGGGTAGGGGTAGGGCTGGGCTGTTTCCGGTCCATCTCAACATCCCCAGGTCTGTCTTTGATGTCAGTTTCATCTCCAGACAGGCAGAGTGTGACGCTCTCCTCCTCGGTCTCTTCACTGGGTGGCTCACTCTTAATCTGTCCCCTGGAGAGTCCAGGTTTGAGGCTATTGCCTGGGCTGTCTTCATTGAACGTGTTTGCAAACCCTGAGGTACTGTGTGAGGACGCACTGTAGACATTCTTGGTACATGCAAGCTGGTACTTCTTGTATCTAGGGTACTGTGTCAACGCATCCTTTTCTAAGTTTTCCTTGGTGTCTGTGGGTACCTCAGACTCAGGTAGCAAGGCTTCCTTCTCGGCTACAGGAATGGCAGCAGCCTCAAAGCCGATGGGGTCGGTGGGGCAAGCCATCTTCGCTGTCTCTGAGTCCATCGTCTCTTCCTCCTCCTCCTCTTCTCCTGCAGAGTTCCCATGGTCCTCTTGGGGGCGCTGGCACGCGCTGTCCTTCCGGCACACAAACAGGCCATCCTCGCTGTTCAGGAGCTGTGTCTGCAGGAAGCTGAAGCAGGAGTCCTCCAGATTGTGCATGCGCAGGAACTCGGCACAGCGGATGACCTCGCGGATGTTCTCTCTGCTGAGTAACAGCTTGGCAGTGTAGGCAAACTGGAGCAGTGGCCCAAAGCCCCTGGCCGTGACCTGCAAAACAAACAGGGAAATCGCCAACGTTACCATCAGCACTGCTATTGTCCTGGATTTCTCAACCAAAGCAAGATAACCAGACAGTGCTAATGCCCTGGAATAAAAACCGCAGAGGAGCAGTTAATCTCGTCCTGGGTCAGCAATGCTTCCGCGTCCAATAATTAGTGCCTGTCTTGTGCCTGCCACCTCCGTACTTGACGGCACGAGCAGAACAGAACCACCAGGGTCAAGGGGCGAAGCAAGATGACAAAAGGCTCACTGTTTACACCGATGAAATGTCCTGGCAAAAACGCACAGAACAATGGGAAGCCTATTCATTACTGTCCCCATCGGTCCTGTCGAGAGCCAGTGTACACAAGAGGGGGTGCTGTGACTCTTCTTGAAGCCAAGGAAAGCATTAGCATTTTCTTGTCAACCACAAAAATGGCAGGGTGGCCCTGTCAAAAATGCACTCTATGGAGTTTTAAAACCAGTTTCTCCTTACAATGTTAAAAGAAACATGGAAAATCTCTCCTCTCCATGGTTTCTACTTGGAATAGTTCTCCTCCTCCTGCTTCTTCTTCTATTTTTCTTCTCAAGACAGGGTCTCACTATGTACATCTGGGTGTCCTGGAACTCACCAATGTAGACCAGAGAGTCCTCAAATTCACAGAGATCTGCCTGCCTCTAATCTCCCAAGTGCTGAGATTAAAGATGTTCACCACTATGCCCAGCCCTACTTGGGATTTTTCCTTCCTTCCTTCCTTCCTTTCTTCCTTCCTTCCTTTTCTTTTTGATTCATTCATTTATTATATATATAGTGTTCTGTCTGTATGTCTGCCTGAATGCCAGAAGAAGGCACCAGATCTCATTATAATGGCTGTGAGCTACCATGTGGCTGCTGGGAATTGAACTCAGGACCTCTAGAAGAATAGCCAGTGCTCTTAATCTCTGAGCTGCCTCTCCAGTTCCCCTACTTGGGATTTTCCATCATCATGTCATACCTAATCTTACAAAAAAAAAACAAAACAAAAACAAAACAAAGATGGTGACAACTGTCAAGAAGAAATTAACTCCTGGTTCAGAAAGAGTTAGGGTATACAGATCTACACAATCTGGCTGTCATTTCAATGGTTGTAGCCTCCAAGTAGCAAAGGACATGTGCTATCCCTTCCCTAATTATTATTAGTAGTTTTACTATGAAGCTGTCTAAAATCTCCTGTGGGTATGCCTAATGATGCATTTGCTGCTTCTCCAGTGTATTTTACAGACACATGTATGTACAGGCACACACACAGTGATTTAGACAATTAAAAATATGTTGCTTGTGGTTAACTGCTTTTTTTTTTTTTAAAGATAGAAACATCTAAATGCAGGGGTCTAGGGTAGGCTTCCTTACCCTGCATATACTATTTGGTATCCTGTAGATCCTTACTGACCCTGCCGCTGATCCAGGGGAAAGGCAGACAGAGCTACAGAGCACGTGAACACATTAAACAGAGCGGCCGCCATGGGTGCTTGCTGAAGCTACAGTGGTCACATGTTTCCAGGGTGGGCAGGGGAAACGACGACACTGAGGGAGATGGAGTGGTAAGATTGGGTGACTTCTGTAATCTCTGACTTCTTGAAGCATGCAGAGTCCAAACTCATTAAAAGACCTGCCTCTACCGCAGAAGACTCAATGCATTTTGTCCTCTCAACTCTTGTAGCCAGAGAGCGGAAATGTAATGCCAGGACCCATTCTTCAGGGCACACAGTGACTGGGGTTTTAAATGTTGATATTGTTGAAGTACTTACTAAAAATCCAAATAAAAATAATCAACCAGATAATAAGTTCAAAGGAATCAGCCACCAGAAACACGCTGATTTGGAATAAGACATGTCTAGAGGAAATATTATATATGTGAAGGAATTAAGCAAAGGGCAAGAAAGGGAGAAATTAAACTGTTATTTTCTGATGACATGATTTTAAAAGTAGGTAACTCTGAAGATTCTACAAGTTATGATCATGAACTAAAAGTAAATAAGTACAAAAATCAACATAAAAAGCCAGCAGCATTTCTAAAGCCTTCAACAAAAATCCCATTTACAATAGCTACACAAAACACTTAGAAATAGATCTAACCAATGATCTCTACAGTGAAAACTATAAGACACTGATGAAACTGGAGACAGACAGACAGAAGGGTATTGTGTATAAGTAGTCTCGAAGAGTCAACACTGTTAAAACATATTATCCAAGCAAACCTACGATCCCATGGAAGTGGTGTCATTAGCATCCTACCATCAAGTTCTGGGTGGCAATCTAGAGCAATGACAATAGCCATTAATGTTTGGGGGATTTATGGGACCTCATTGGCCAAAACCTCGAAAATAGTAACCCATTCCAGCATGTGGTATCTAGCTGGGAGCACTGTTCTCCTGTTACAGGGCGTTCTGGTTGGTCCTTTGCCAACTTGACGTAAGTTGGAATATCAGTTAAAGAAATGCCGCTATCAGTTTAGCCTGCAAGCAGGTCTGTGAAGAATTTTCTTGACTGCTGTGGGTGGTACCACCCCTGGGGAGGAGGTCCCTAGTGGTATAAGAAAGCAAGATAAACAAGCATTTTTCCATGGTCTCTACTTTAGTTCCTGTCCTATCCCTGCATAACAGACTGTAAGTTTTAAGGTAAAATAAATAGTTTTCGCTCAAAAGTTCCTTTTGGTCAGGCCTTTTTTTTTTTTTTTTTAATCACAGCAATAGAAACCTAACTAGAACATAGGATTACTCTATTAAAATCTTTTTTTTCTCTCTGTAGTTTGGAACCTATCCTGGAACTAGCTCTGGTAGACCAGGCTGGCCTCGAACTCACAGAGATTTGCCTGCCTCTGCCTCCCGAGTGCTGGGATTAAAGGCGTGCGCCACCACCGCCCATCTCCATTTAAACTTTTACTAGATGCATATTGATACATTTTATGGAGTTCCTATAGTAGTAGATGGCTTTTTCAAACCTGGCTCTGCCTCTTAATTATTATTAGTTTTTCTTTTACAATGTGCTGTGAGTTGCTGTCCTCCGTGCCAAACAACTGCCATCTTGGAGTATTTAGCTGTGTTGCCCTTGCAAAAGTTCATCTCAGCTGAGCTGTTGGTGGTGTATACCCTAGCACAGCAAGGAGATACTTGCTTGAGTGAGTATCCTCAACTCTCAACTACTTCTTCCCACTGGCAACGCTGCGTGTGGTTTGGGGGAGGGGCTGGAGTATACACAGCCTATCAGTTAGGAGAGACTAGATGGGCCTGTGGGAGGCCTGCCATGGCTACTGGGTAAGGCTTTTCAGGTACAGCTAGTTGGAGAAGAAGAGCACATAACCATGTAAGTAATCTCTTACTTCTATATTCTGTAAGGATGCCATAGACACAGGGGCTCTCTGGAGTGAACTTTGGGGGAAATCATGTTTCAGGTTGGTTATTAAGACTTTGGGAGGAGGAGTAGACATTGCTTTGTAGCAACAGTATGGAACCACAGAAGATCCAGAATAACCAAAGAAATCTACAAGAAAAATAATAAGGCGAGAAGCATGGCACTACTCCTTTTTAAAGACAACATGAACTGCAGTGACCCAGGAGCCATTGTCTTGGCATTCCATGGGACCAGACCAGGGGAATGAAACAGAGAGCCCGGAAACAAACCCAGGCATTTACAGACAGCTGTTCTGACAAAGGTGCTAAGAACACACAATAGGGAAAGAACAATCACTTCTGTTAATGCCACTGGGAAAACTGTACAACTATACAGAATGAAAACAGACTCTTGTCTCTCCCCAGACACAAACGTCCATTCAAAGTATACGAAAGGCTTAAATGTAGGCTCTCAAACTGCGAAACTTCTAGAAGAAAGCATAGAAGCATGCATGAAATTCCATTATATTGGTCTGGACTATGATGGTTCTGGATATGACCTAACATATACTGCCTCATTTTTGGGTATGAAGAAATAGAAGCAAAAACAGAAAATGGGATTATATCAGAATTAAAAAAGTCTATACACAGCAAAGGAAATAACAGAGTGCAAAGAGAACTAACAAAATAAGAGAAGATATTTGCAAACTCTACATTTACTACATGCCAAATGTAAAAAAAAAAAACAAAACATATGAGACCAGCTATGGTGGTCAACCATTTAACCTCAGTGCTCAAGAGGCAGAAGCAGGCAGATCTTTGTGAGTTTGAGGTCAGCCTGGTCTACATAAGAGTTCCATGTTAGCCAGGGCTGTCAGCTGAAAACCCAGCAAATGAAGAGACTGGTGGCCTGCAGGTCCCTTGAACACACTCAACGGGATCCCAGGACACAGTTAAGTCCCTGTTTGTTTACGCTGTGGGTCAAGGCTGTATTCATACAATGCAATGTGCACATTTACAATGGCCACTGTAGAGGAATCCCAGGTAATGGTAATAGGTCCAAAAATACACAAAGCAAGTGCCCATCACGCCTTCTGAACAGGGCTAAAGCCAGCAAAGGTCATCAACATACTAGATTAGCCTTTGTGTCTCCAAAGATGCTTCCACAACCGGCCTATTTTGAGGGACCACTTAAATCAGCTCATTGTATCAGATGGCCAATGTCCAAGTAGCTATGGGAAGCTGTACATTCGTAAGGCTGTGATCACATCTGCATTACTATTTACTCTTTGTTCTTAAGGAGTAAGTCTCTGATAATGAGAAAAAGTAAGAAGGGAGGGAGGCAGAGAATCCTTTCCAACACCAATGACCCATAAAATTGCATTTAAAAATCCAAGGATCATAAAGTGGAATGAAGTGGTTAGAAATAGGAAACCAGTTCCGTTCCACTGCTGTTAATGAGCACCGTCTCCTTGTTGTGATGAACGTGGACATATCAGGCTAAAGCCACCCTCCACCCCCACCCCCCACATTCAGGAATGTTCCAAAGGCATGGCGAACAGATAGTAAGTACAACGTTAGGAAGAACTTGGAATAATAGCCTTTGATTGGCATATCCTGGATGGATGACTTTGAAGAAC